CCCGCCACAACGCCCGGCTATTTTTTGGTTGCAGCCGTCATTGTTGTTTGGCGGGTCCGGGCTGGGGATTCGAACCCACCACCTTAGGTGTACATGGCTGGCGCCTTAGCCGGTTGAGCTATAGGCGCCGAGCCTGAAAAGGTTTAAATTAAGACAGAGTTTCTGACTCTTTCCTATATGCTTGGAAGGAAGACATACCTGGATTCAAATGGATCCTGCTTCTCCAGAGGTCTCACTCTCTTCTTTGTCACTGACAATTTAGTCAAATCCACATACTTTGTCTCTCCATTGCTGTAAGTAAACTCAAGAACACTATTCCATTCCCCTTGCACTCTGCATACCACTGTGTTGGTGATGTTGTGCTTGACTTCAGCTGTAACCCTAGAAGCACATGGAAGCAAAGGATATCCTCTCGTAAGTGATACCAGGTTTCTTAGTATCCAAAGCCCACCAACCTGTGAATTTTGTTTAAATCAGTTACACAGCTCACTTCAACTGCTCAGTGCCTTACACAGTCAGATTCTTGGTAAATCCCATGATGACTTCTTTGAAACTTTTTCAAATAATATCAATTTTAATCTTTAGAAAGACTACTAGAAATCAAATTATTACCACAATTACTTTATCACCACAAATGATGAGTATGAGTTTAAAAGACTTGCTACCAACAGAACTATCATAATATCAAAATTAAAAAAATACAGAAAAATTAACATTTTTTTATTAAATCTATAAGTTTCACATTGAAATATATTTATATAACTTGGTTTTTTACTAGTTAGCTCTATTTATTGCAAAATTTGGGGCCCTTACATTTTAACGACATATAATGGATAAATCAATTCTGTATTAAACTACATAAGCCTAATTTAAAATTAAATATACAAACCAGAGGTAGAAAAATATAAAAGAATGTACTAAAAAATTTTAAATTATCTTGCCACAATAGAAAAATACAAACAATATCATTATCACTACAGAACTCAGAGAGACCTCACACACAGCTGTTATTGAAGTTTGATGAAGCGTTATCTGGCTGTTTATCAACAGACATTTGAATTATACAGCTCAAGTGAAACAATAAGAACAGTTCAGAAAAAGAAACAGGCCTAATTATTTTTAATGAATTATTTTACCTCAGTATAGGATAGGTGTCCTCAAACTATGGCCTGGGGGCCGCATGCGGCCCACCTAGGACATTTTTCCAGCGACCGCCAAGTATTTTTGCTGCCACTACCTGTCCTGCTTAGCAGCCGACTGGTCCTGGGCCCCGTAGCCTGGCCCTCCAATGGTCTGAGGGACAGTGAACTGGCCCCATGTTTAAAAAGTTTGAGGACCCCCTGCTATAGGACATAACAGTAAGCTCAAATTAGAGAAAGATTCAGAAGTTGGAGCAAAAATTAAGGTCTTAATCAACAAGTTGGAGATTGTGGCATAGACGTTCAGGTAACAGTTCAGGAATCCTAAGTACCATCTGTCAGTTGTAAGCTAAGAGAATGAGAAGGATAAAGTAAAATTCAAGGAGTCTATAGAATTTAATCAATCAGGAGAGTAAAAGGTTTACAAACTCAGAGCTCAAGGCAGAGATGTAAGGAGCTCCACAAACAAATGATTTATGAGCCACAAGGGTTTGGAATCCAAAAGCAAACCACACATTCAAATATCAAGAGTTAGCAGTAATTGTAGCTCACTGGACACAAAGAACACCCTAACTATAAGTCAGCTTGATTTCAGTAGGGGTAGAAACTCTGGTTTATACTAAATAATTATGCTGCTAAATGTCTCTGGCCAGAATGAATGTTTCACTTCCTCTCTGATTCCACTTGCTAACACCTTTCCCTTCTTGAAAATTTATCTCTACCAAACAGGACATGAGGAGATGACACTGAACAATTACCTTGTCCCTTCTCCATCCACATACACCTAGAACTATATTCTAAGAACTCAGAAATGATAAAATGTTGCTCACCTGATCTTTCTTACTGCCACAGAATAATCTCTCAAATTATCATTACCAGGACAGGTGCAGTAGCTAACGCCTATAATCCCAGCACTCTGGAAGGCCAAGGCAGGTGGACTGCTTGAGCTCAGAGGTTCAAGACCAGCCTGAGCCAGAGTGAGACCTCATCTCTAAAAATAGCCGGGCATTGTGGTGGGCACCTGTAGTCCCATGTACTTGGGAGGCTGAGGCAAGAGAATTGCTTAAGCCCCAGAGGAGTTGGAGGTTGCTGTGAGCTGTGACACCACAGCACTCTACCAAGGGCAACCAAAGTGAGACTCTGTCTCAAAAAAAAAAAAAAAAGAAGAAGAAGAAGAAGAAAAAGAAAAAACTAGCCAGGCATTGTGGCAGGCGACCTTAGTCCCAGCTACTTAGGAGGCTGAGACCAGAGGATCTCCTGAGGCCAAAAATTTGAGGTTGCTGTGAGCTATTATGCCACAGCACTCTACTAAAGGTGACAGAATGAGACTCTGTCTCAAAAAAACAAGAAAGTTATCATTACCTCCCACAAATCTTCCCACTTAACAAATACAACCCCCCTAGGGCCCTGCTCATGATCACTGGGTTATACAGAATCCCAAATGCTTAGAGCGGCTGCACAGCAAGAACAGCATTAAGGGAACTGAGGCAGGGGACAGGAATCACATATACAAGGGGTAAGCCATGAGGAACTTGCAAAGAGACACAGGAATGAAGGAGGACCTGGCCTCACTTTGCTTATGACAATTCTTTACAATAGTCTAATGAGGAACTGGCAAACTTCTATAAAGAGCCAGAAAAATTAATATCAGGATTCTTAGGCCAGACTGTCTTCTGTCCCAACTACCTAACGTTGTCACCATAACATGGAAACAGCCAGAGACAAGTAAATGAATAGACACAGCTGTGTTCCAAAACAAATTATTTACAAAAACATGTCACTATGGCCTGAGCTACATTCTTCCCTTGGATGTATTCAGGGCACCAATCACATGGCAATGTTAACAGCTTCCTATCTCCCAAAGTAAGACTGTAAGTTCTTTAATAGGCATGGAATGGGTCTCATTTCCATATCCCCAGTTAGTACTAAGGAAAATGATGAATTGCAGGTGTTTAATAAATGTTGTTTGAATTGATGGGAAAATTAAGCTTCAAAGAGCTTAAATAATATGCTCAGATTAATATCACTACCTAGAATGAGTAAATGTGAATACAACAATAACACAAGAGAATGCCAGTGCATGTATACAGAGGTATTTAACATTTGTTGAACATTTAAAACATACTAGGCATTTTACATAAATTAACTTTGTCAAGCCTATTGACTATCCCATTTCTGTAGGTGAAGAAACTGAAGCTCAAAAATGTAGTGGGAGTGCATCCCTGTAGCCTGAGCTACTTGTGAGGCTGAGGCAAGACGACTGCTTGAGGCCAGGAATTTGAGGTGAGCTATGATGACACCACTGCACTTTTAACAGGGGTGTCAAAAGACTTTGATCCCCCCCCCCAAAAAATTAGGTTAAGTGCCCCAAACCACATAGCTAGTAAAAGTACAGTCAGGATTTGACTACAAAACTAATGGACTCCCAAATCCAAATTCTTTCCAATACTTCCGGGTACCAATATCCTTAAAAAAATTGGGGGAGAAAAAAAGCTACCATCTTTTTCCCCCTACAAAATAAAACTAGGGGAGATAACATTTTCATTATTTTGTAGCTATGACAATACAGACCAAAAAAAAAAAAAAACAAAACAAAAAAACGAGGCACTTTAGAGAAATATCTTATAGGAAAGAAGGAAACTGAGGAAATAACCAGATGAAATGAAGGTATGCTCAGAGCCAACTCTGTCATTCTGCTTCCATGCAGTAGCATGGGCTTCCTGACCAAAGTACAAAGGCTGAGTTTAGGAATTTAGAAGGTAAAAGCTATACCAAATGTTAAAGCTGTCAAAGCTATACTTTGAAAACCACTATTAAAAAGGTATGTTGGTGGTGCCTGTGGCTCACTGGGTAAGGCGCTGGCCCCATATACAGAGGGCAGCAGGTTCTAACCTGGCCCAGGCCAGCTAAAACAATGACAACTGCAATGCCCAAACTGGGTGTTGTGGTGGGCACCTGTAGTCCCAGCTACTTGGGAGGCTGAGGCAAGATTGCTTAAGCCCAAGAATTTGAGGTTGCTGTGAGCTGTGACACCACAGTACTCTACCGAGGGTGACACAGTGAAACTCTGTCTCAAAATAAAATAAAATATATATTTTTTTGAGACAGAGTCTCTCACTTTGTCATCCTCAGTAGAGTGCTGTTGCATCATAGCTTATAGCAACCTCAAACTCTTGGGCTTAAGCAATTTTCTTGCCTCAGCCTCCCAAAGCTGGGACTACAGGAGCCCACCCCACCACAATGCCTGGCTATTTTTTTTTTTTTTTTGCAGTTGTCATTGCTGTTTAGCAGGCCCGGGTCAGGTTTGAACCTGTCAGCCCCAGCCCTGGTGTATGTGGCCAGCACCTTAACCACTGAGCAGCTGAGACTACAAGTGCTGCCACAATACCCAGCTATTTTTAGTGGCTGGGTCTCGCTCTCGATCAGGCTGGTTACGAGCCTGTGAGCTCAAGCAATCCACCTTCCTTGGCCTCCCAAAGTGCTAGTGTTACAGGTGAGAGCCACCACACCTGGCCTGTTCTCTCATTTCTAAAAGCCCGACAAGTCAATCTTTTAAATTTTCTAGATCCTGTTTTTAGGGTACCAGAAAAACCACTGAATATATTAACTTAGCTTCAAATAGAAAAGATTGTACTGATTTTAGGTCAAGAATTTAGCTGTGAGTTTCATTGATGGTATATAAGAAATACAGAAATACTTATATATAAGTGTATATATAAGAAATACATGAAGGGTAATTATATTTTATGCAGAACTACTGAAGAAGATACTGTCTATTATAATAGTTATTCAATGCACTATGTCAGGACACATGCAACAAACCCTTTTAGAATTTAGTGCCAGGAAAACAGTTTGCCTCTTTAGAAAAAGTGATATGCTTCTTTATCAGAGGGAAGAAAGTACGCTGAGCATTATGTTTCTTTTTGTACTTTAATACACGAGTCAGAACTAATTTTTTTTTCAGTTAAAGCAATCACCTAATACAAGTTTCACAATATTATTTTTCTTTTCCATCTTTATAGTTATTATCACAGACTTTTTAAAGTATCATATGAGAGTTTTCCCTAAAATCTTTACTAAATGCTTTCTAAAAATAGCATACTATATACTAATAACAGACTGAAGGCTTCTTGAAATCTTTACCATTATTTCTATCTCTGATATGCATAAAAGTATGATATATAATGTGCATATATATGTATGTATATATACATATATACACACAATTATCTTAATACCATG